ACTTGTACCTAGGACAGAAATCAAACAGGAAGAGGTATCGTAGAGCTAGCTTGACTAGAATAGAGATAAAAAATTTGGAGTCCATCTCTATCAAAACAATTAGGACCACGAGGACAAGAAAAAGGTGATTATGATAAAATGAATCACTCAATGCTCTATACCATTTCCCCTCAAAGCATACACATATCCTGATTCTAATCTGTGTAGGCAAAGGGAGAGAGGCCAAGAAATCAAGTGAAAAGCAGCTGCCTAAGAAATCTTTTTTTTTTTTTATGGTTGAAAGAATTAAATAGGAAGTATGGGTCTGTATAAATACCTTAGGCTTACAGTTGAGATCCTTAAAAAATCTGTACCCTGAGAATAAAAGCAAAAACAGTTATGAGCTGTCTCAGTCCCTGGTTGAATCAAGGGATTTTTCCCTTGTTCTACCTGCTTGCAAGAAGAAAGTTAAGACTTTGGTTGGAGAACCTTATATAATTTTTCATACATAGTCCCTGACATTCATCAACAATTACCAAAAGTCAAAAAGACATTAGAAATAGATGCACATATGATACTGATATCATAGTTACTACCTACAACCTTTAGAACAGCTGTGGTGTCTTCCTTGGTGGCACAAGGTGTTAAGTCTTAGCACTATGACGCTTCCGCAGCCACTGCATCATGAGTTCGATTCCTGGCCAGGGAGCTAATCCACATGGCATAGCAGATCTCTCCTGTATCTCCCGCTGCTGTCCTCCACAGTGTATTTCCATCAGTCTGCCTGTTCTGCTCACTCTGTCTCTGCTAAATCGTCTCACCCCCCCCCCACATACACACACATCTCTGGCCTGTACCTCAGTTCTTGTACACATAAATAAATTTTAAAAATAGAATAGCTGTAATTAATATGTTCAAGAACATAGATTAGAGAATGAAGAAATTTCACTAGAGAGCTACAATATTTTTAAAATAAACAAATAGAGCCAGCTGCTGAAACAACTAGATATCAACATGCCAAAAAAAAAAAAAAAGAATATATGCAGACTTCACATTTTTCACAAAAAATGAACTCAAGGTGGATCACAGATATAAATATAAAACTATAATACAGAACTATAAAATTCCTAGAAAATAACAGGAGAAATTGAGGCAAACAATTTTTAGATTCAAAGTCAAATACATGGTCCATGAAGGAAATGAGTGATAAACTGAATTTCATTAAATTTTAAAAATGTGTGCACTTTGAAGGACACTGTCAAGCAAGAACAGAAAAACAAATCAGATTGCAAAAGACATCTAATGAAGTTACCTAAAATACAGAGAGAATTCTTAAAACACAACAATAAGAAAACAACCAACTAAATTTTAAAAATGAGCCAAAGACCTGAACAGACCTCTCCAGAAGAATAAGTAGAGGCAAGTAAGCACGTGAAAAGATACTCAACATCACTTGTGATCAGGCAATTACAAATTAAAACAGCAATGAGAGGCCCTCCCTGGTGGCGCAGCGGGTTAAAGCACTGCACTGAGAAGCTTAAGCCACTTCCACATGAGTTCGGAGGTGACCACATGGCGTGGCAGACCTCTCCTGCCCACTGCTCCCCTCAGCAGTGTACTTCATCGATCTGCCTGTTCTGCTCCCCTCTCTGTCCCTGGTGAATCCTTTCACCCTCCGCAGGTACCTCCAGCCTGTACCCCAGTTCTGTATGAATAAATAAATAAATCTTTAAAAAAAAAAACAGCAATGAGAATACTATGTATCTAGCTATGAGTAAGGACAGTGTTTTCTTCTTGGAGTAATTTTCTGGAGTCACTTTGGAAGACAGTTTGGGGGTTTCTTAAAAAACTAAATATACTCATCTCTACAATCCATGTATTTTTCTCTACACAATTTTTTGTCCAACAAAGTCAAAATCCTTTGTCTTGTTACTCCTCTAAGAAATGTGTTCCTGGGTCCTTCCCTGGTGGCACAGCGGGTTAAAGCACAGCACTACAAAGCTAACCACAGCTGCTTCAGCATGAATTCAGTTCCCGGCCAGAGAGGTGACCCACATGGCACAGCAGACCTCTCCTGTCTCACCCACTGCTCCCCTCAGCAGTGTATTTCAGTCCATCTGTCTGTTCTGCTCCCCACTCTGTCCCTGGTGAATCCTCACCCTTCTGCACCTCTGGCTTATACTCCAGCTCTTGTATGCATAATAAATCTTTTTTAAAAAATGTGTTCACTTGTCAATGATGGGCAAAACACTGCACGACACACACTTCAGTAACATCTTTGAAGATACAGCACCCAATGCAATGACAGTGAAGGCAAGGATAAATGGATGGGACTACATCAAGTTAAAGAGCATCAGTACAGCAAAGAGACATTACAAAAAACAAACAGGCATCCCACTGATTGGGAAAAAATTTTTCTCACACAAAACTAGCGATAAAGGATTGATCACAAAGATATACAAGGAACTGGTGAAACTCAACAAAAATAAACAGCCCCATCAAAAAAATGGGGAGAAGAGCTAAAGCAACACTTCTCTAAAGAAGAAATGCAGATGGCCGACAAGCATATGAAAAAATGTTCAGCATCACTTGTAATAAGGAAGATGCAAATTAAAACCACAATGAGACACCACCTCACCCCAGTGAGAATGGCACATCTTCAAACAACTAGCAACAACAAATGTTGGCGAGGATGTGGAGAAAAAGGAACTCTCCTGCACTGCTGGTGGGAATGCAAACTAGTACAACCACTATGGAAAACTGTTTGGAGGTTCCTCAAACTGCTAAACATGGAGCTTCCCTATGGCCCAGCAATCCCACTCCTAGGTATCTACCCAAAAGTCACAAAAACACCAATTCAAAAGATACCTGCACCCCCATGTTTATTGCTGCTTTACTTACAATTGAAAAGACATCGAACAACCCAAATGCCCAAATAGTAGATGACTGGATGAAAAAGATGTGGTACAGGGCCCTACCTGGTGGTGCAGCAGGTTAAAGCACAGCACTAAGAAGCTAAAACCACTTCAGCATGAATTCAATCCCCGCCAAGGAGGTGACACACATGGCGCAGCAGCTCTCTCCCAACCTACCCACTGCTCCTCTCAGCTGTGTGTTTCTGTACATCTGCCTGTTCTATTACCCACGCTGTCTCTGGTGAATCCTCTCACTGCCCCTACACCTCTGGCCTGTGCCCTAGTTCTGTATGTACAAATAAATCAATCTTAAAAAAAAAAAATGTACATATACACAGTGGAATATTACTCAGCAACCAAAAAATAAAAATAAATAAACACATGCCTTTTGCAGCAAGATTGATGGAGCTGGAAAAGATCATGCTTAGTAAAATAAGCCAGAAAGAAAACAAAAAATACCGGATGGTTTCACTCATAGCAGAAGTATAACAGACCAGGTGAGGAGAAAATAATAATAATAATAATGAACAACTATATTCTAGAATGGGGAATGGGATCAAAAACAGTGGGGGGAGGGAGGGAAGTACATTGGACTGTGGTGATGGCACACAGGTGATTTGGTGGTGGGAAGCCCACAGAGATTACAACTGAGATGGAAAAAGGCACAAGATGATGTAAAAATAAACATTTTTTTGAAAAAAATGTGTTCGCTTGTTAAGATGCTAAGTCAGCTCAAGTTCTCACCACTCCAGTTACTGAGTGTTGGCATATCTACATGCAGTGTCCATGTTAACACACTTCTATTTGGTTATCTCTTGTCCCTGTGTCTTTCACTGCCTTGTTTACAGATCCTTAGCTAAGAACTTAAGATAGGTAGAGGAAAAGGAATTTTTTTCCTATAAGAGGATTATTTATGAGACATCTGTAAGAGGATTTGTTGAAATATAGACTTACTAGTAATGTCCATTTTTTAAATTATCTAAATAATCACTAAAAAGCCAGTGGCATGGTTTGCCTCCATACCACCCTCTTAGAAACAGGTTTAATTTGCTACTGGAGAACACACAAAATAGCCACCCAACTTCTTCGAGGACCTACAACATCAATGCAATGAATGGACAAGATCCAGGACACAGGAACACATAGGCATTCACTAAGGTTGCTGGGAGATAGGACAATGGAAGAAGCTTTAGGATTCTAGGCATGGTCCCTTCTTTCTGATATAGTAGAACAGATCACTTAGTATTTCTTAGTGATACTGAACACAAAAGGGGTGCAAGTGACCTCATCTGACTCCCTCAATTACTGAGCAGAAAACCAGAACTTTTTAGTACTCAAGTTTATGGTTTAGTGACCAGAACCCAGAATTCCTGCCTCATGGTATTTTCTACATTTTACTTTCCCAAAGTTTTGAGACTATTTGATGAATGCAGAGAATGGCGAGTAGTTCTTCAGTAAACAGTAGTCTTGACATCTGATCCTCATGAAGCTAGCAATGACCAGGAGCAATTCATCCCCTACAAGAAGTCATCTCCTTTACATTCTAGCAAAGGCCAAGGTACTTGGAGGTTGTTGTTGGCTCTGGCTCATTCCTTGGCCTTGAGCTGTACTTTCACATCTTTGATCCTCTATTTCCTCTTTTATTAAATGCAGATTAAATGTTCCTAACATGATTCTAAAAATTCTTAGGATTAGCTAAATTGCTTAAGAGGATAATATTGAAGTGGGAGATGAGATTAAAAAGAACTGTACAGTATTTTTAAATAATTAAAATAAGAGGAAAGGGCTTTTTGTATATTAAAAAGAAACAAAAATCATTATATTAGTTTGCTAGGTTGCCATAACAAAATACCACAGATTAGGCAGCTAAGCCAACAGAAATTTCTTTCTTATATTCTGTAGATTACCAAGGAGTCAGTAGATTGTATTACTTCCGAGGCCTCTCAGCTTGCAGAGAGATGCCTTCTTGTGCCCTCACCTGATCTTTCTTCTATGTGAGGATTCCTCGCCTCATCTTTGTCTCCAGATACCCTCTCCTTTTATATAATATATCAGTCTCACTGGATTCTCCCAACATAGTCGAACTCTGAGGCAATCGTGGTGAGACTTCAATGTGTGAATTTATTTTAAGGGGCATAAACTCAGTCTCTAACAACCATCAATTCTAGTTCTCATTTTAAAACATTGTGACCAAGTGCATGCATCTAAGAAATTATTTTATTTTGGGATTTTAAATAGAATGCATACTGTTATTAGTTGAATTACATTAGTGTTTTCTTAGAGATAACATACCTAGCAAGCTAGTCAACAAAATTAAAAACTGAGAGTTTATTTCATTTCATTGTCTTTACAAATAGTATAGAATAAGTAGTTTATTACATGATTTCTGTAAAAATGCATTGTGGAAGCCCTTCTTTAAAATAAGTATATAAAAATCTAAAATATCATTAAGATTTTTATTAGTATACAATCGAAAGTCACTTATTTAATAACAGATTAACCTCACTCTATATGGGAACAACTTTGAAAAGTCCCACTGTTAGTACTCAACCCTGACTCATTGCCCATAACACTTCTCTGGAAATCAGAGGGCTCAGACAGCAAAACTCAAAAACTATGTTGAAAAGAAAGGTGTCTTAGAATTCCACTTCGTAAAGGTATTAACTGGATGTTTTAATGAAAATTTCAAGTCTTAATAGATAAAGAAATTCCTTTTTTCCAGAACACACATGCACATCCTTACAATAAAATGGGGAAGAAAACAAACATAGATTTTAACTGTTTAGCCCTTTTACTTTGTGAGCTTAATGGCTGACGTCTTCTCTTCCTTTACAGCTTGGCATTCATCTGATTCATTAGTTTTTCCAATTTGATTGCTAGGGCCATGTTCCCTTTAATCTTCAATTTTCCTGACATGAATGCCATTGTTGGTTTTAGTTTCCCTAAAATGAGAAAAAAAGAAAAAAGTATCTATGGGTGCTCTTAGGGATATTCCACTTTGCATTAAAAAAAAAAGAATCTCTAAGTTCTAAAAACCTAACACAGAAATTTGTATTACATTTTTTCCCCCAGTATCCTGGGAATTCCAATTCCTGGACTTAGACAATATTCTATGAGAGATAATGTAAAAACAACAATCAGAAAACAATGACAAATTATAGCAAAAAGCTGCGGATGCAACATTTGTATACTAGTTATAGTTACCTAAAAAGACACATGGTCCTCAAATGAATTATAAACAAATGTTATCTATTTTAGTTAATTTTCCATTGTTATATAGTTCAATAAACTTACAGCATCTCAAGTTTAGATTTAAAAAATTCAAATGGGGCATAAGGTAGCACAGCACTATGAAGCTATCTTTATAGCGTTCAATCCCCGGCCAGGGAGCTGACCCACCTGACACAATAGACCTCTCTCCTGTCTTTCCCACTCCCCCCCTCAGCAGTATATTTCAGTCCATCTGCCTGTTCTCTCCCCACTCTGTCTCTAGTGAATCCTCTTACTCTTCTACCCCCGTGTGCACCTTTGGCACTCCAGGTCCTGTATGTATAAATAAATAAATCTTTTTTAAAAAAATCAAATGGTATAAATGCATGATAGTCTTAAGAAGAAATCCTCATTAAAAGTATTAAGTAGGGATACAAAAGTATAACCTAGCATTATTTTAGTGACAAAAATGCCAGGACATAAAAGATGAATTGTAATAATAACAAGATATAATGAAAAAAGAAGCTAAGTGGAGGGAGGAAATTTTATTTACTACTCTCATCCTAATGATAGTGAAGTATGCATACCATTAATGAGGAATCTGAGGTTCAGAGAGGATTTTGTCTTTCCCCAGGCCACACGAGCTTATTATATATTATGGTGCAGTAATTCATAGTTCTATGCTACACTGTACACAACTGTGTCTGGTGTATTAATAAACCTCCATTGGGTCACACACTGACTCTTTGTAGGAAAAAGAAATGTATGGGTTAATGTATTATGTGTATGTAGTAAATACCTTTAAATTATTCTGTAAAGGGGTTGTAGCAAAGCATTATAAATTGGTTATGGATTGAAAGGATCAAGTCTAATCCATTTATTTTAACGAATAAATTGAAATGGGCATTATTACAAGGAAATGTGATATTAAAATACCTAAATTTACAAATAATAGATTAAAGGATATTTTGATTTACATGGAAGATACTGGAAGATCTTTATTCTTTGAAGGAATCTGCAGTCACTGCACCACAAGTTCGCTCCCTGGCCAGGGAGCTGACTTGCATGGGACAGCAGACCTCTCCCGCCTCACCAGCTGCTCCCTCAACAGTGTATTTCTGGCAGTCCACCTGTTCTGCTCCCCACTCTGTCTCTGGTGAATCATCTCATTAGGGAAATGCAAATCAAAATCACAATGACATATAACTTCACTCCTATTTCATAGGGTTACTATTTAAAAAAAAAATGATGGTGGTCATCTGAGGGGAAGAAGGATGGGGAGCTGGGAAATTGGGTAAAAGGGGTCACCTGTATGGTTGGTTATGAAAGGAAACTACAGTTTTGATGGGGATGATAAAACACATAAACGTGTTAAATTTTAATGTACCTGAAACCTATACAGTGTTATAAACAATTACTTCAACAAAAATTAAAAACAAAAAAAGCAGTGTTAATGAGGACAGCGATAAGAAACAAGTCATCATACATCATTAGTGGTAATGTAAATGGTACAGTCACTGTGAAAAGTGTTCATTCTTCAGAGAATTAAACACAATTACCATATGAACCAGCAACACAGAAATGTGTACATAAATGTTTATAGAAGTATTATTCATAACATCCCAATGGTGGAAACAACCCAAATATTATTTAGTCATAAAAAGAAATGAAAAAGCAATGACACATGTCATAGGACATGGACAGATGACTACCAAAAGCCTTATGCTAAATTTAGGAAGCCAGATATAAAAGATTATATATGGTTTGACTGAATTTACATGAAATGTCTGGAAAACAGCACATCTATAGAGACATGGAAGCAAGTTAGTGTTTGACTGGCTGCAGCAGTGGTAGACGGGGGTTGCCGAAAGGGGACTGACTGCAGAGACACGAGTGAATATGGGAGGTGATCCACGTGTTCACAAATGATAGCTGTATAGCTATAAATTTATTAAAACACATGTACAGTTATATTAGATGGATCTTCTGGTATGTACATTATACTTCAGTAATATAACTTTGAAAAATAAAATAACCAGTAAGGTGAGTATCTCTTAGCTATGTGTATACAAATATATATATACATAAATTATGTTATATATATGATACATATAAGATATGTATTTGCCCCTTCCTCTGATTATTAATCAGATAATATTGTACAATTTATTTTCTATCATAAAGCTTTACCATACAGTGACCTCTACTGGCCAAAATGAGAGTTTTTTTTTTTTTTTTTATTACTAGTTCCTTAGATTATATAGTTTTGTAACAAATATTAGTAAAAGAAATTTAGGCCACAGAAATGGCTATGGTTTCTTAAAGGAAAATGCTTAGATTCTTAAGTCAAAATTGTGCTCATTCAAAGAACACCAGACGAGATAAAGAATAAGAATGAAAGGACATACCGAGATTAAATACATATACAAAATGAAGGATGATGTTAAAAAAAAAAAGAAGAAGAAAACAACAAAAGCAGAGTCACTTGCTCCCAACTTAAACCACTGTCATAAAATACACCTTGTAAGGATACTTACACTGTAAGCACTGTGGTTAAGCTTTTATAATAATTTTTGAAACACCAAACAACCACTAAAGAATCTATTCATTAACACTCAAAGATGTTATAAAAGCAGCAGGTAAAACACTGCTAAACAGTCATAATGCTAAAATCTTGTTTTCATAGCACATGTATAATTTATCTACATTCACAAAAATTGTAATTCTAAGCCAAAACCTCAGGCCCTCTTATTAGAGTGCAATAAATAATAACTATTTCCTTAAGCATATGGTTCAATTTTTCTTTTGGGAATACCAGTATAAAAGGGAAAACTTCATGTCAATCCCTCATGACATAGTACATATACAGGCTCAACAGTCTCTAGGCCATTCCACATCCTAAATAAAAAATGGAAAGCAAGATACACAGGGCACAGAATATGCTGTGGATTCCAGTTTATGAAGACTAAAATTGAATAAAGAATGAATAGCATGTCTGACTCATTAAATGAAAGCCTCTTTAGTTTAATTGCTTCTAATAAGTAATGTGTTAATTAGCTTACTATCTGGAGTAGTATTCTAAGAGTCAAACACAGAAAAAATTACCCTTTAAAAATTTTCTGGCACATTCAAGTACATGGACAGAACAGTAAATTATGTTAAAAGATTCTCCGGTTGGAGATTCCACAGAATGTGGGATCACTGGGAAGCTGTTTCCTATTACAAGCGTGAAGACTGAAGCATGACTTTCCTCTCAATAAATGCGTCACCATGAGTTCAGCAGCTTTGCTGACCCAGGTGATACTTGAAACGGTCTTGGTGCAATGGCAGGTAAAATCACCTAGGAACCTGTCTCCATGAGTCAGCTCCCAGTTCCCAGTGTTATCTGAGGGGCTTTTCTGTCATATAAAAAGGAAATTCTGCCCCCTATTCTCCCATTTGTGGCTAAACTAGAAGGAGGAGTAGAAGTAACAGCGGGAACTGCCTTCCTAAGACTATGCACTTGTCAACATCAATAGTTGCTAGGGTTTTGCTGCTCAAACAATTACTAGCTCTGATTATTTGGGAAAGAATAAAGCACAATGTTGGGCTAAATTTTCTTTGAACAGAGGCCCTCCCCCACTTCCCTCCCCTCCCACTAGCCCCTCCCACCCCCCATGATACAAAGGGTTAAAGCGCAGCATTATGAAGCTCTCCACAGCCACTGCAGCACAAGTCTGATCCCCAGCCAGGCAGGTGACCCACATGGTGCAGGAGACCTCTATTGATCCACCCACTGCTCCCCTCAGCAGCGTATTTCAGTACATCTGCCTGTTCTGATCCCCACTACATCACTGGTGAAATCTTTCCCTCCTGCCCCCACACCTCTGGCCTGTACCCCAATTCTTGTATGCCTAAATAAATCTTTAAAAATAAATAAATAAACCTTTTGAATAAATTTTCCTTGAATAATCGGTAAACTAACAACAGTGAAAACTTACCTGAAAACATTTTTACAAAATCATCAGTAGACATACTCATCACCACATCTGCCCGTTCTGAGGGCTCTCCAAATCCGACCTTCCCACCTTTGCTTTTAAGATCAAGAAACCATGTCCCACCATCTTCACCTGCATAAAGATTAAAAAATTAAATAGATGCTAAAGAAGTCCTGTTTCTTTTTAAACTTAATAATGGCTACAGACTCGACAAAGAAATATGGTTCTTAACAAAGAGGAAATGGAGTCAAGACAGCCCAGCTGAAATTGAGATTTTAAGTAACGATGTACTACATGAGGAGCTGGAATAAGTGTGATGGACCAGAAGGGACTAAGAATGGAGAAGAGGCATGGGGTAGGTTCACAGGCATCCTGAGCAGAGCCCGGGGATCCCCGTGTCAAGGGCGCACTGACGTCATCCTAAGTGATGTCCCTTGGAAGGAGCATGATGTGAGGCTTGTAACTTAAATAGCTCACAATGAGCTTCCCTGGTGGTGCGAATGTTAAAGTCTCAGAGCAATCAAGCTACCACCAGCCACTGTAGCACAAATTTGAGTTCCATCACTGGCCAGGGAGCTGACCCACATGGCTCAGCAGACCTCTCCTGTCTCAGCCACTGCTCCCCTCAGTAGTGTATTTCAGTGGACTCACCTATTCTGCTCCCCAGTCTTTCTGGTGAATCCTCTCACCACCACCCCCCACCTCTGGCCTGTACCCTAGTTCTTACATGCATAAATAAATACATCCTTAAAAAAAAGAAGAAGAGATTGCTATCTTGACTAAAGAAGTTGGATAAATATTTGGCTGGGGAAACTATATAAATATTTGCTCAATTTTTTACTGAAAGAGCAAACTGAGGAAGAGCAAATTTAACAGCTAGTGTCAAAGATTGGGACATTTTCAGATTGAGGCATCTTTGTCACAGTAGGTGAAAATGGCAAATGAGGTCTGGCTTGGCTACAAGTATAGATCTTTAATTAGGCCTTAGGGTCTCTGAAGCCACATGAGTAGCTGGGGTCTCCTAGAAATTTGTAGATTATAAGGAATGGGACCCAAAGAATATGAATGTTTAAAGGAAGGACAGAGAAGCATAGCTAGAAAAGCATCTGTCCTCTATCCTTCAAGACACATGCAGACAGAGAAGGAATGCAAAGAAAGCCAAGTGTCGAGGGAGCTAAGGAAACAGCATTTCCAGAGGAAAGTGTAATCACCCATCAACAATGCATAGTGATACTGAAGAAGGGAAAAATGATGGATGATGAGGCCCCTGATGAGAGCAAATTCAGTGGAAGGGAGGAAAATGTTATCAGAGAAGAGTAAATTATAGATAAAATAGTTTGACTCTAAAAGGAGAAGAAAGAGAGGAGGATGGTGTTAGTGTTATTGAGTTTCATTTTAAAAACAGTACAGCCTGAGAATGTTAATGTACATTGGGAAGGAGCTGCAGAACGAACAGATGAGAGGACATCACAGCACAGAGAATCTGAGGAGGACACAAGCAATGGGTCTAGAACTTAGCTACTCAAAGTGTGACCAAGGACTGCAGTACTTTCACCATCTGTCAGAAATGAAGAATTCAAGACCCCATCTCAGACTAGATTCTGCAATCTGGCATGATTCCAGAGAATCAATAGGAACATCACAATGTGATACGACACCAGGGAGGGCCCACAATCCACTCTTGTATACCCTCCTTTTCCTCGTCATATTTAATCAGTCGCCTAGTATTTAATCCAGATACCTAGTCTAGTGGTTCAGCAGTGTATGTCAGTAGATCCACCTATTCTGCTCCCACTCTGTCTCTGGTGAACCCTCTCACACTCACTCCATCCCCTCACAGCTTCATATGACCAGTCAGGCGTTCAGCTCTGTTGTCGGGAGATGAAGAGAGCTTGAAGCTTCTAATAAAGACTGATTTGTTATCAGGTGACAAAGCTTAAGCCATTGGCTATAGACTCCATGAAAAGGGTTGGTATTATCTGCTAAAACTGACAAGGTTGTGGTGAGGGGAGAGATGGGAGAGTCGAAGAAAACTGAGAAGGTTTAAAACATTGTGGGAAATGAGGCAGTAAATCGACCACAGATACACAGAGCTCTGCAGTATTGTTTAGCAGGATGATGATTTTCTACTAGTACAGGTCCACTGAGAGGTGATTTTCCTTGTTTTGTTTTGTTCTGAATCATTCCTTTAGCAGAACTTAGCAGTTTGGATGCAGCTATGAGGCAGCCAGTTATCTTCAACCAGGACTAGGGTTTTGGTAAGAGGTGGACACCACAAAAGACCCAGAAATTTAGGATATAGGCAAGAGTGACTGAAGCACTTTAACATAGGCTCAAAAAGGATAGAAAGAGAAGTAAAAACAGGAAAGGGTGGATGAATTAAAATAAAGTAGAAGAGACAAAGGATAAAAGAACAATGTTAAAGCTTGCAAAATGAGCTGATGTAGCTAATTCTTTAAAAACCAGCATTAACATGTAAATACTATATTAAGAACAAAATTGAGAGAGATTTTTAAAAGCTGGCTACATTCAGTCTTATTTAAATAATCACAAAGATAAAAACTGCAATGTGCCCATAGTTGGTGATAAATTACTATATTATACTACCCCTCATGATCCAGATACCCTTCCTAAGTAGGATTTTCTTAGTTACATATGCCAATGAGTCATTTAACACTGGAAGTACCTGTAAAGCAATTTTATCTCACATGTGTCCACACAACTGATCATTAAGACAATAGTCAATAGTAATCTGCTAGTCTGAATGTCTACGTCACAGGGTCAAGGTCCTGGATAAATCAATTATCTAGGTGATTACTATGGGAGGCTGATGTTCTTGCAAAGGAAATATCCTACTTTGTTTATAAAAGCCCCGTATTACCAGACTAACACCTTACCTGAGAGTTCAAACAGGTAAATTGCTTGAGTGGCTTTCACAACATCATCACTGAGAGAGTCCTTAACAATTCTAAATGTTTCTTCCACAGCTCCAGAACGTGGTTTTGATGCTGGCTGTGGTTTCTCTTCTTTTAATTGTGGGGCAGAACCTGTAAAATATTATTGATGTAAATGAGTTTTTACAATGATGTAAAAGTCTAGACAGTGTAAAGCCCATCACAGAATTAATTCATTAGTGGAACACAGTTGCTGCCAATTAGACCTGTCTGACCAAAATGAACTTAAAACACATTTCGTGGCATCTAAAGCCATAAATCAAACTGATGGAACAGCCAAACACATCAGTCTTTTATGTTTATAAATGTCAGTGGTTTATAGTTTGTATTCTCCGAGGGAAAGGCTGACTCATGAAAATAAACACAATGCAAAGACTCAACTAAGCCAAAAGCTTGGCAACCACATTTGTAAGGTGGCACAGCAAGCATTTAAACACAGGCAGTTTGATTCCAGTGTCTGCAGTTTTAGCCACAGGGTATCATTTTCTCCATATTTCCTTCTATCGCTGACTAATTTTCACATATTCAACATAAAGGCTGAGCATAGTACTAAGACCTAGACTCAGAACTAGTCTAAACAGAGGCTGCTCAAAGTAGCCAAAATACTTCCCTTTGGTTTCCACAGGCAGGAAACACATAGGAATAGTCTAGTTATACCTTAATTTGTCAAGGGAGATCCTCCCTTACTAGTAGGTGATTGCTCCAGTGATTTGATGGTGAAGATACATCACGATACCACCTAAGTGCTCTGGAGGCAACAGCAAAATGTCAGCACAACCCTGAAAAGCTGCCCAATAATAAACTATATTATTTGTCCCCTAGAGATTTCCAACGGTGCATGATGGTTTTACACAAGCAAATAAAACTAAAGGAGACAAAAAACACAATCAATAATATCTCTGAAAAGTACAGTCAGTAAACTACAAATATGTAAGCTTTTAAGAGAAACACTCAGAGCATTTCAAAACTTAAAAAAAAGACAGACATAGCCAGCAGCCCCTATCATAGCCTCTCCAAACTTCATCCTGTATCAATATAACTAAAACAGAAGACAAACATCTAGACAACATCCAATCTCCTGTCAGAACCCAGGAAGACATGTGCCATGATTCCAGGAAGATGGAGTAAGCCCGCGATTACAGGGTGGCCTGTACTATCAGGGGTGAGCTTATGCACAAAGTTCCACATTTTTCAACTGCCAGATCAGATTCTAGGTTTGTTCCAACTCGAAGTCTAGGGTCTGTTCGCCTGGTCCACAATGCTGCTTTTCAAGAACACCTCCACCTCTCAAACGCCGTTTCTAAGCACCCTGTTCCCAAATAACAGAAGCAGGCTGTAGGACAGCAGCATGTGCCCTAAAAACTGCCAGATAAAGATGCAGAGGGGAAGAACTCTGGCAGCCAGGCAAACCAGGGGAAGTAGTTTTAAGCAGAAAGCAGTAAAAGAAAGTCCCTGTCATCCATACACACTGGCGCTAGATGGGGACAAATGACAGCTCTCAGAAAGGATTTCCACCAGCGGACAGGATGGAGGCAAAAGCAACATGAACATCCTACTCAAATGACCACATGGGCTGTGGAGATGTCTCTTAAATGGGGGCCGAATTAACAGGGGTAAAAATGTAACCTGATGCTTATGAAAAAGCAATGTACCCCCAAGGTTATGGAAGGCTATTCTGAAAAATGAAAAGTCCATCTATCTCTAAAAAATTGTTCTTTATGACACAAGATTTCCTTCACATAAAAACTACATGAAACAGAAGCAAAGTCATGAATAACTGGCTGAGGTGAGAAGGAAATGGGAAACATCAGAAACTAAAATTGCAACAGCAAAATTAAACACTAGGGGCAATATAGAACAGAGATGCAACTGCAGGAAATTTTTCGGTAAGACAGAACAAATGAAAAGGTCTCCCAGAAAGCAGATGAAAAGGACAAAAAAAGAAAAAGAAAGAAACGATAAGATGGTGAGGGTGGAAAAGAAAAGAGTAGCCAAATAAGAAAAGTGTTTCAGAGGAGAATCCAGAACAACTGCAAGAGAAGCAATTAAAACTACAGCTAGTTAAGCAAAAGTTAATTGAAGTTAAAAAACAACAACAACAACAACAACAACAACAACAACAACAAAAACAACCAGTGGGTGCCTGTGTTCCCATGGGGGTTTAAAATAAAATCAGTGTTAGGGCCCTCCCTGGTGGCGCAGCGGGTTAAAGCACAGCACTGAGAAGCTGAAGCCACTTCCGCATGAGTTCGATCCCGGCCTGCCCCGGAGGTGACCACATGGTGTGGCAGACCTCTCCTCACCCGCCCGCTGCTCCCCTCAGCAGTGTACTTCATCGATCTGTGCCTGTTCTGCTCCCCACTCTGTCTCTGGTGAAGCCTCTCACCGCCCCTGAGCCTCTGGCCTGTACCCCAGTTCTGTATGCACAAATAAATCTTTATTAAAAAAATCAGTGATAGTATTGCTTTTTTTTTTTTAAAGATTTATTTTTTATTTATGCTTATAGAACTGGGATACAGGGGTAGTGAGAAGATTCACCAGAGACAGAGTGGGGAGCAGAACAAGCAGCAGGACAGAGTACACTGCTGAGGGGAGCAGCAGGCAAGACAGGAGAGTTCTGCTGTGCCATGTGGATCAGCTCCCCAGCCAGGGATCAAACTAGCCCTGAAGTGGCTGAGGCTAGTGACTTTGTAGTGCTGCTCTTTTACCTGTTGTGCCACCATGGAGGGCCCAATGATAGTACTGCTTTTAATATGAGGGGGGAAAGCATTAAATTGAAATTATGTACATTTATACTACACAATTACATGTATATATTATGTAAAACATACATACAGAGCACAAATACCAGAAAATCAACTGTTAAATAACTTAAGTGGTGGATGCAAATAGAAAGATAAGTCTCTGCCCCTGTAGAAATGCGGGAAGATCCATTTTGGCGGCCTAGGAGTTAAGTTTCAGCGCTATCACTGCCAGGGAGGTGACCCACACATGACACAGCAGACCTCTCCTGCCTCACCCACTGCTCCCCTCAGCAGTGTTTTTTTGTTTATCTGCCTATTCTGCTCCCTACTCTGTCTCTAGTGAATCCTCTCACCAGCCCCTGCACCTCTGGCCTGTACCCCTTTTCTTCAACACAAAAAAAAATTAGAAAAGAGAGACAAACACTGACCTCTGAGAGATAAACTATAAAGTCAACATACAATAGGTGAATATATGGAAGTGCAAAATCAAAGGAAAGAAATAAGTTGGCTCTCACATCAGATATACTTGGCTATTTCCTGTACGAACATATTAATCTATCTACAAAAAATGCCAAGTAGAAGTGCAGTTGACTGAGCCAGAGACAATAGGGAAATGAGAAGTAAACATTCTCTCTATTGTGTGAAATGGGAATCCGATTATATGACCCCAAGGATGAGGGGCTCCCTCAGTGATGAGAGGTAGGGGTTGTTTCAATATACCTGACATATTCTGATACCACAAGCAAAATCATTCCTATCAAAGCCTAATGCCAATAATTGTTTGTCTCACCTTTTACTCATCTAACCCCTCTTTCCTGATTCCATGGTCATGAAATAACCTTCTGATTATGATTCTGCTTCCTACTTAATTATGCCCAAAGGGAGAGAATAGGCTACACATTTAGTCTGTGAGATGGCAACTCCTCATTATAAATTAATAACTGGGATTAATGAGAGAAATACGCTCATTTAAGGACCTATGTATTTGGGTCTCAGGAAAGCAATTGAAGTTTACAAATTAAGGATACAGGCTTTGCAATCAGAGAATGAGTTTAAATCCTGGCTCTGCCACTTGCCTGTTGTGTGATTTCAGAACTAACAGGAAGATGATAATGCCTGTCTTGTCGGACAGGAAGCATTAAATGAGACCATGTGTGTCATGTACTTAACAAAGCCGTTGGCACATAAGAGCTGCCCAATAAATATTTGTTGAAAAACAAAAGTAATACTCGTGGCCAATAAGTGATTCCTAGTATATAATGTGGTATTTACATAATCTCCATTCGCATATATCTTTCTCCCAAAGTGTGATCCAACCTTAGGCTACTAGGCAAAGATCAGGATTTTAGACCTACCTAATTTGGCTAATTAATTTCTGCCATCCTGTAATAAGATTTTTGTAAAAGAGACTGACAACCTTGTTTTAGAATGGATACATCCATGTGGCAACCAAATCAGAGAGCAAATTTAGAATTAAAAATTTAATTTCATGAAGAACTGTCTCTGGGTGATGGGATAATAACATTTTCCTTTCTCTAGCTTTTCAACTTTCTTATGATACAAAAGTTTGTCTAAGTAAATTTTAAAAACTATCTCAAAGAACTTAGACAAAAAATAAAAAAACGTAGAAAGATAAGATTAAGCCAGTAATAATGTATGACACACTAAAACACACTAAGATTCCACAGGCTTGCTTAAGGTCATAGGACATCTGTTCCTAATCTTTTGAGCAGCCATCTAAAGAATGTACGACCACTTAGAAGACTCAGAGTCTGGAAAATAAACATGAGGGGAGGGCCCCAAAACAGTACAGACGTTCGTATAAATGCAGGAGAGAAATTCTTCTCACAGGTATCCATTTAAGAGGACTTCTTTGGATATTTGTCAGCAAGCTAGTGGCATAATGCCAGAGCACAAAGACAAAATGCTGGGCCAATTCAAGGCAGGTGTCCTTTCCCAATTATAAAAACAAAACAAGTAAAACCAAGACCTCCTCTGAAATTAATCTCACCCAGAGTAGTCACAAAGCACAAACTCAGACTGGAGATAGAAATACTTGGGTTTCCTCAAAATAAAGTAATACATCAACATGAAACAGGAGATCTAAAAACCTACAGACCAGACTATGGAACGAAAGAAAACCTTAAAAAGGTTTTTATCCAGACAACTTTTAATCAAATGAAAAGAATATATTAAGAACTTTTTATGAGTGGAAGGGG